CGTTTCGAGGCAGAGATGGATAACTTCTTTTCACTCTTCCGACGGTATCTGAATGACAAGGCCAAGGGTAATGTCCTGTCATGGGATTCCATCGCGCCACCTCAACCAGGCCAAGTCGTCGAGTACAGCGATCTAGGCAATTCTGCCTCCGTCAACTTTTTGAAAAAGCTGGCTGTGATCAAGCTGAACGGAGGTCTCGGGACTTCCATGGGCTGCGTTGGACCTAAATCTGTTATCGAGGTTAGAGACGGCATGTCCTTCCTGGACTTGGCTGTCCGGCAAATCGAATACCTGAACCGCACCTACGACGTGAGCGTGCCTTTTGTGCTCATGAACTCCTTCAACACCGACGAGGACACACAGTCGATCATCAAGAAGTACGAAGGACACAATATTGACATCCTGACCTTCAACCAATCGAGATACCCCCGCATCCTGAGAGATTCCCTCCTACCCGCTCCTAAGACCTATCAGTCCCCTATCACTGACTGGTACCCCCCCGGCCACGGTGACGTCTTCGAGTCACTCTACAACTCCGGAACCTTGGACAAGCTCCTGGACCGAGGAGTGGAGATTGTCTTCCTCTCCAACGCAGACAACTTGGGTGCTGTTGTCGATATGCGCATTCTGGAACACATGGTGAAGAACAAGGCGGAATATATCATGGAGTTGACAGACAAGACCAAGGCTGACGTAAAGGGTGGCACCATCATTGATTACGAGGGCCGGGCCCGCTTGCTCGAGATCGCTCAGGTACCAAAGGAGCACGTGAATGAATTCAAGTCGATCAAGAAGTTCAAGTACTTCAACACCAACAATATCTGGATGGATCTGCGCGCTATCAAGCGCGTCGTCGAGAACAACGAACTGGAAATGGAGATTATTCCCAACGAAAAGTCTATCCCAGCAGACCGCAAGGGAGAGGCGGACATCTCTATCATTCAACTTGAAACTGCCGTGGGCGCCGCCATCCGACATTTCAAGAACGCCCACGGAGTCAACGTCCCACGCCGTCGTTTCCTGCCCGTAAAGACCTGCTCCGATCTCATGCTCGTCAAGTCCGACCTGTACACCCTCAAACATGGCCAATTGGTCATCGATCCCAACCGGTTCGGAGGCACGCCTCTTATCAAGCTCGGGAGAGATTTCAAGAAAGTCTCCGATTTCCAGAAGCGGATTCCTAGCATTCCTCGAATCCTCGAGCTTGACCACCTCACGATTAGCGGTGTGGTTAATCTTGGCCGTGGGGTTATATTGAAAGGGACTGTTATCATCGTAGCCACCGAAGGCAGCACTATTGATATCCCGCCTGGCTCAGTTCTGGAGAACGTCGTTGTGCAGGGGAGCTTGAGGATCCTGGAGCATTAAGCTAACAGGTCTCTCTCAAACCAGTGCCGCTTCCTCTCCTCTTTCTCTCACTCACACACACACACACACACACACACACACACACACACTCTCTCTCTCTCTCTCTCTCTCTCTCTTTTCCGTTTTTTTCTACTTTTACAACTGAAGGTTTTATTTGAGCAAGGCATGATTACGGGCGTTTGAAATCCAGGCATAATTTTCGGCTGGATTGTGCAGTGCATGCTCATGTTAAAACATATTCTTTTATTGTTCTCCTTGCATTTTTTATATCGATGACAATTTTCCTCCCAGGGTTTAAAAAACACTGTTTACTTGTTATTATTACTGTTTCTCCATTATCTCCTTTCGCTAATATGGGTTCCCCCCCCCCCTTTAAAGCCTTGAACCCTTCAGCTGCTGAGTTTTCTTCCTTGTCTCGTTGCCTTGAAATACCGAGATCTGGGAAATGGTTTAGCAGGCACCGTTAAATCTCTTATCCACCATACGAAAACACACTTTTTTCCAAAAAAAAGAAAAAAAATTATCGATACATCGTTAGGTGGAATATGTGGACAAATATGTATAAATAGGAAGAAAAAACCTCAAAAAATCCAATGAAAGTTGTTTCCACGTCTCAAGTACACAGACATACATACAATTGCTAGAGTTCCCTTTGATGAAATGCAACGGTTGCTGAGGTTAGACTCGGGGCTTGTCTCTCGAATGGTTTTAAGACAAAACAGGGAAACGGGTAAACCAGCCACACCCTGCAGGCAACAGAGATGGATGATGAATGATGCGAACCACAAAGCAGGCTTGGTTCCAAATTTCACCTCCCAAAAAACAAGATTTCCATGTTCTGGACAGCTTATTCAGCCAAGCAACCATTCTCTGTCAAGGCCGTTGTTGAGATCTTGTTTTGAAGATTACATTGGTCTCAACTATAACTGCTGCAAGATTAGCTTATTATTTAAAAAGGTTAGTTAATAATTTATTTTTAATATATAGTTATCTAGCCTTTCCGCATACGGAGAGGATCGCGATGAAAAAAAAAAAAAAAAAAAAAAAAGGCAAAAATCGAAAGAGGAGCCGAGTTATCTCCATGTGCCCCTGTGGAGAAGAGTTTTTATAACATCAGTTATAAAATACTCAC